ACCATCACCCCCCAAACTGCTTCTTCGAGACTTGACCACCAACCTCTCCTTTCTCAGGACTACCCATGCTACGTGATCACCAGGCTTCTGCTAGGGGTATAAAAGGACCCACAAAAACAAAGGAGTGCTGGTTTCTCTTTGAAGCCAGTCTCCTCTTGTCTTCCCTTTAATAAATTTATTTTTCTTTGTCTAACGATCGGCTGGCTCTCTCATCTTCTCTGCACTCACTTTACACCCAGATTTTGCTTGAAACATACCCACAACCTGAGGCTAGTAGAATCACTAGCCCTTTTTGTTTGCTTACAATGGAGATCATCACTTTAACTGACAATGCTCCATATCAAATGAACCCCAAAGCTGGTTTTCACAGTCTTCCTTTCTTTGATTGAACTGTCCTACTGAGAGAGCTCAGGGTGCAGATGGGGATGGAAGCAGCCTAAGACAAAAACACCATACGTTTGTGTCGTTTTTACCCGAAATTCTTGAATAAACAGTTTTCTTGAATAAATGCTTCTCAGTTTGTTATATGCCTTTAGTCTATTTTCAGATCACAAAAATGGTTTTGTTCCACCTTTGTAATTGTTTGGGGGGATATAGTTTGTCAGCCTCCTCATTTCAACAAAATGGAAGTGAATCTTCTAATTTTTTACTTTAATGCCTATGTTCCTTTCTATCTTAACTTTGTCTTAAATGCCCACACTGATCACACAGATGTGAAAGTATTTTAAAATGTAAAGAGTAAAATACAAATAAAAGATATATTTATTTATTTATTTTGAGTAGGAGTCTCACTCTGTTGCCCAGGTTGGAGGGCAGTGGCACGCTCCCGGACAATGCAGCACAAAGCAGCCTTGACCTGCTGGGCTCAGGTGATCCTTCCACCTCAGCCTTCCAAGTAGCTGGAACTATAGGTGCACGCCATCACACCCGGCTAATTTTTTGATTTATTGTAGAGATGCGGTCTCTCCAAGTTTCCTAGGCTGGTCTTGAACTCGTGGGCTCAGGCAATCCTGTCATCTTGGCCTCCCAAAGTGCTGGGATTATAGGCATGAGATACCATGCCTGGCTGTGATTATTTTTAATGAAATGCCTCTACCCTTTCTAGTTTTACAGCTTCTTTTTTTTTTTTTTTTTGAGGACACAGGGTCTTGCTCTGTTACCCAAACTGAATGGAGTACAGAGATGTGATCACAGCTCAACGCAGCCTTGAACTCATTGCTTGAACTCAGCCTTGAACTCAGCCTTGAACACAGTCTTGAACTCAGTACAGAGATGTGATCACAGCTCAATGCAGCCTTGAACTCATTGCTTGAACATCAAGCAATGCTCCCATCAATGTGTATAGCGTAACAGATTATACGCAGGCACTCTTTATTTTTATTTATTTATTTTTTTGAGTTGGAGTCTCACTCTGTTGCCCAGGCTGGAGTGCAGTGGCACGCTCATGGCCACTGCAACCTTGGTAGGTCCTCTTTATAATATTAGCTTGTATCAGAGGACCTGTAAATGTGAAAGTAGGAGGAAAGAAAAATAGGAATGAAGACAAGAAAGTGGCCAAAAGGGGCAAGGAGAGAAAGAAATCTCACTAAATATAAGGGTCAACCAACCTGCGTGTAGTGGATAGTGAAGATTGCATGGGATCTGCTGCTGGCCTCGTGAACATGGGTGGTTGCTGTGATTCTGTATACATAAAGAAAAATGGTTAGGACAAGGATTGTTCATACATGGTAAATCCTTAAGGATCTATAGGGAACATAAGAAATGTTAGTTCTGAGGTTCACAAATGAGAATCATAAAACATCCATATTTAATCCCAATAGAGTCAGGAGAATGAGGCAGCAGAAGCAGTACTCTAGGTGCTGATACTTGAGTATAAAAGAGAGTGTAGCTTTATACTAAACCACATTGAACTTTAAAAAAAAAAAAGCAATAGAAGCAAAAATCAGAGTGAAAAAGGGAATACCTGGGTGTCATCAACTTGCAAGAATATCCCCAATATAGACCCATTAAATAAGGCAAGTGGAGGTAGACAGCTTGCTGGAGAAGACATCTCAAAGAGAAGGTAAGTTTATATTTAGTCAAAATCTCACTCTGTTGCTGACGATGGAGTGCAGTGGCATGATCATATCTACTGGGCTCAGACAATCCTTCCTCCTCAGACTTCCAAGTAGCTGGGACTACAGGCGTGTGCCACCATGCCTAGCTAAGTTTTTTTATTTATTTTAGAGATGAGGTCTTGTCATATTACCCAAGTTGGTCTCAAACTCTTGCACTCAGGCAATCTCACCTCAGCACTCAGGCAATCTCACCTCAGCCTCCCAAAGTGCTGGAATTACAGACATAAGCCACTTCAAAAAAGTAGGCTTTGATTAAACACAGAACATTAATCTCTCTCTTTTTTTTTTTTTTGAGTTGGAGTCTCACTCTGTCACCCAGGCTGGAGTGCAGTGGCCGCTTCCAGCCACCACAGCCTCAACCTGCTGGGCTCCAGCGATCCTTCCGCCTCAGCCTTCCAAGTAGCTGGAACTACAGGCACGTGCTACCACGCCCGGCTAAATTTTTTTGATTT